ATATATTAGAAGGTAGAAAGTGGGAGATTTACTTTATTTTCTCCAAAGAGTACTGAATATCTAGAAAACAAAAAACTCTTCTTGAATCTTATCTCAATAATTAAACATCAAAGTGAAGTCAAAGTTGGTCAAAGGAAATGAGAAGGAAATCTGAATTCCAGGCTTTCAGTAAATACTTAAAAGAATAGAATCTAATGCCAGGCATTGTATTGTTTTCTGACAAGGCATTGAAGAGGTTTCACTAAGATGCTGGAGATGAGAAAAAAATCATAAGATTAGATGAGGTTAGAGAAATTGGTTGGCCTTCAGTGGTGTGACCAAGTTTATCACCAGCTTAGACACCCCTCTGTACTCCAGCCACATTGCCTGGCTGCTACAGCAAGATTATTTTCAAGTGCTTTTTACACATTTCAGCTAGACTTACTGAATACTTGCTGTTTCATTTTGGGTCACTTGAATTTATAAAGGAATTTACAAAAGTACAGTATCCTGAAAAGCTATGCATACATATCTACATATAGACAGATGGATGTCTACAGGCCTGAAATGTCTTGTAGGGGTTTCAAAAAATATAAGCAATATTGAATATATACTAGCTACAGTACTTAGTTTCAGTGACCCAAGGACAAAAAAACCCACAATTTTTTGTCTCCCTTGGATAATTTCTAATAGGGTTTTTTTTTTTTTTTTGCTATAATGAATCTGTCTTGAAATGTGTGGTCCCTCTGCCCACACTATTATAAAAGTCACAAATGCAATATAAATGCAACCCTTGGTTTTGCTGGAACTTGTCAAAACATTTCTTTTATCGTCTATAAGGAGTGTTTTAGGTGTCCTTAGTTCTGCAACATTTGATTATTACTTTGGGGCCCATTATGTCTGAAGAAGTCATTTGCCATTGGCTACCACACAGCCGTCAACAAACAAGCATTCAGAAGCCTTTGGCAAGATCATTCAAGGGCAGCTTCCACAGGCTGAAGTATCTCAGAGATCTGTTTTCATTGCTCTTCCCTATTGACTTGTAGGGAAAAAAAATTCTGCCTAAATGTTTATATTTCCTTCTGTTTGTCACTACTTCAAGTGAGTTTTTTTAAATTAAGCTTTCTGTTGTTGATTTCTTCTAATGAAGTAATGGGGAGCCATTGATACTCAGCCACTGACCACCTCATTAAATCCACAACAGTGTGGCCTACTTTCTTACAGACTCTGTTGGTGCCATTTATTGTTCCTTCTGCCATATTAGACCACAGGGCTCCAGAATGAGAGTGACACTAAAACTGACTTTGTGGTCACCAGTGTTCTAAATTTGTCTTCACTCCATGTGGTACTGTTGGCAGGTTACCTATCACCTACTTCAGTCTCCTACTTGTCAGTAGACAAGCCTGGATGGCCAACAGTCTTGGTCTTGTAGAAGAAAGAAGGCATTTGTCCAGTCTGACTTTCCTTTAATTTAGGGCTGATATTCAGCCTCATGCTAAACCACTGGCCCCCTCTGAAAATAAAAAGCTTAGCATTGCCATGCATTGGTGGCTCATTCCTATAATCCTAGCTACTCAAGAAAGTGAGATCTGAGAATCTCAGTGCAAAGCTAGCCCTGGCATGAAAAGCCACAAGGTAGGCTACCAAAAAGCCAGAAGTGGAAGTGCCAGCCTTGAATGAAAAAGTTGAGGGACAGAGCCCTGGGCTGGAGTTCAAGTCCCAGTGTGAGCATGCAAAAATAAAATAAAATCTTAGCATCAGGTATTATGCTCTGGCAGGCAGAGAGACATTCCCAGGTGTGGTGGCAGCTATAGGAATAGCATTGGTTGGAAAGGCCCTGGAGCCTTAGGACCGAGTGATTTTTATATTAGAGGCAGAGGCCACACTCATGCCATATTCTCTAGGACTTCAGTTAAGCTCAGGAAGATGCAGGAAAGGTGGTGTAGGTCTCTGTGCAAAACCCTAGAAGCCCAGCCAGTTAGGTAAATATTTAGTTCCACTCTTGATAGCCAATGGAGTCCTGGGACACTGCTAGTTTCCCCATGGTTGCTTTTCAATATGTGTGGCTGGGGAACACCATCGATTTTGAGGAACTTTTGATTGGAAAGAAGCAAGTGGTTCCAGTGGTTCCATCCAATCATGGGATTCACCTTCTGCCTGTGTATTATATGTCCTCAGCATCTAAAGAAGAGGACTGTCTTACACTGATCTCCAATTCAGTGACTGCCTCTAAGCAGCCTGGTACCCAGAGATCTACCAGCTCTGCACTCAATCCCTCTTTGGCAATTCCCATCTAAGGTTCCATACTCATTGTGATTGGGATCGGAGTGCAGGGGATCCCCTATTTTCATCTGGGGCATACCTGGATGCCATCATTCAAACAAAGTCCAGATATTCTGAAGTGATTGGCAGAGGTACAGGAAAGCAAAGATGTCTGAGCTGGTATGTCCCAATGTGTAAGGCAACCCTAAACAAGTCTGCCTGATTTTATATAGATACTTAGACAGGCATGAAATGGATTTTCTGAGTGTCTGGCTTTTCTTCCTATGGGCTTCTCTCTTCATTTTTTGCTGCTTGCTGCCTCCTTTAAAAAAAAGAAAAAATGATTTTCCTTTCTCCGCAAGTTTTTTTCTTGCTAATTCTGCTCCTGTCAGGTAGCAATGCATTTTTCCAGGGCGCTGTATAAGATAGTCTATTTAGTGAAAATTCAGGCTGTTTCAGCCTGGTAATGTCATTTTTTAAAAAGAGATTTATTGTTATTATAAAGGGTAGTGTGCAGAGGGGTTATAGTTCCATAAGTCAGGTAAATGAGTACATTTCTGGTAAGGTCATTTAAAAAAACAAAAACAATGTCCTCTTTACCTGTCATAAAGGTGGGTGTAATTCCTTGTCTCTGATAGAATCTAGTCAAATTAAAATTTTCTCAGGTTACAAACATTAAACATAGAAGCTCCCAGCCAGATGCTGATAGCTCATGCCTCTAATCCTAGCTACTTTAGAGGCTGAGGATCATGGTTCAGAGTTAGCCCAGGCAGGAAAATCCATAAGACTCCTATCTCCAATTAACCATTAAAAAGCCAGAAGTGGAGAGGTGGCTCACGTGGTAGGGTAGTAGCCTTGAATAACAGTTCAGAGATTGCCTCTAGGCCCTAAGTTCAAATCCCAGGGCCAGCACCCAAAGAAACAAACTTAGACTCCCTTTTCTTCATTTTTGTTAATAAAAAATTCTCTAGCCCTTCTGATTGTCCTCCTCTTGGCCACATGAGGCCAGATGGATATGTTGACTACAGTCATGTAATCTCTGCTGCCTTCATAGTCAATGCAGCCTCCCTATAGCACTTCTGCCCTAGATACACTTTTGGAAGCACCTCATTTTCTGACTCTGCTCCTTACCTTTTATACTGGGTCATGATAATCTACAACTCAGTGTTTCATGTGGGTGCTACCCCACCAGAAATGCAGGCAGACAAAGACCAGGACCTGTCACCACCAATGGTCCATCCAGCTACCTACTAAAAAACAGAAAGGTTAATGTCAAGAAAGAAGTTCTAGCCTGAGGCTAAAGTGGCTCAGAAATGGGAGGATCATGGTTAGAGGCTAATAGACAAAAAGTTAGAGAAATCCTATTTCAACCAATAAACCCAGCTTTGTGATTCAGTCGAATAATCCGGCTATGCAAGAAGAAGAGGTAGGAAGATCTTGGTCTGAGGTTGGCCCCAGGGAAAAAAAAGTGAGACCTTATCTGAAAAATAACTAAACCCAAACAGTCTGGAGGTATGGCTGAAGTAGTAGAATACATGCCAGAAAGCCCAAGGTCCTCGGTTCAAAACCCAAGTAGTGCTGAAAATTAACTAAGATAAAAAAAATAATAAAACCAAGTATTAGTCTGAAATTGAGAGAGCACATGCTCACTAAAGGGGGGTAGAGCCTGAGATAGAATTTAATGGCTTCCCTGAAAAATGTTTTAAAATGCACATGGCTCAAATCCCTGTTAGTACAGCAACAGTCAAAATAAACTGGACCTGTCAGGGAGTGGAGCTGAGAGAATGTTATGAATAGACTTATTTTGTGAAGTTGTCACTTGACGCACCCAGAGAAACCAAGCGAGGGTCACATCGACTCCCTCGGCACTGATGTTGGTTAACTCCCTCCTGTGAATGCCTTCCATTTTATTTGGCTAGTTATGTGAATTTGTTGCTTTTTCCTAGTTTTCTGGAAAAGAAATTACAAATGGGGCTATGCAGATATTGCCCGCAGTGTGGAAGAGCTGATCACACTGGTAAAAAAAAACCATTCTCAGTCTACCAAACGCACCCTCCTGGCTTCTGAATGGAAGCCTTGTTACCTGGGAGTGCAAAGTTTTTGCAGTGTAAAGTCTGGCAGGAACCTGTGAGGCCAAGGGAAAGAATGGAGCCTTTCACCAAGAGCTGCTGGGCGTCCAGTACCCTGAGGCCTCTCCCTAAGCCAGAGCCTCCCTTCAGAGATGACAGATAGTTCCCTGGCTCCTGGTGGAAAAGATGGACTCTACTTTATCCTAGTTCATCCCTGTGAATATCCCCAGCAGTGACCAGCCTGCCTGCTACTCAAGAGGCTGAGATCTGAGCATCTCTGTTCATAAGTCCTTTCTAAACAAGCTGGGTAGTGTCAGATTTGGAGTTTTTAAGGAAAATGCCTAATGCACGTCTTGTTCCCTTTAAGCAGATAGATGGCCACTTCCTAGGCTGCTGGCCTTGTCCAATGTATAGGCCCATTGTTCTGAATCTTGATCCATAGAATCAGAGCTAAAAGCTAAATCCAGCTCACAAACACTAACAGCAACTCAGCTTGCCAGCAAGCCCATTCCTTTTGAACCACCCAGAGGGAATGACCCTGCTAGCCTTGCATTCAACTCACCATGCCCACCAAGTAGAGTTGAAAGACAGTGGTGATCCTCAGGGTGCAGAGGTATTGTGGGTTATTCTGCGTCCCAAGCTCAAGGGGGGTGGGCAATAACCTATTTCATTTTATGTTTTTTTTTCCAGTTCTCTCAGGCCAGGCACACCACAGCCCTTTGAAACGATCTGTGTCCCTTACCCCACCCATGAATGTGCCAAACCAGCCTCTAGGACATGGATGGATGTCTCATGAGGACTTACGAGCTAGAGGACCCCAGTGCCTCCCATCCGATCATGCCCCCCTGTCTCCACAAAGCAGTGTAGCCTCGTCAGGAAGTGGAGGGAGTGAACACTTAGAAGATCAGACCACTGCTCGTAACACATTCCAAGAAGAAGGTAGTGGTATGAAAGGTGAGTGACTATAAGAGGAACCACAGAGTCCCTCCCTTTATTTGGAGTCCAAGGGTAAAGACAGATAGTCAGCAAGACAGACAGAACCCAGCCCCTCTCGCCAGGCTTGTGCACTTGAGCCACCCCTTCCAGAACTCCAGGACTGGCCTAACAGAAAGGGCTGTGTCCCCACCAATACCGCTTGCCCAAATCTGGGAATCTGAGCATTTTTGTTTTCAGTGTGTTGACCCTCAGACAACTGATGCATCCCATCCAGTAGCTGGGATACAGTCATTTGTTGTGAAAGTGCTAAGCTACTCTATTTTCTGCTTGCTATGGCCAGGGATTTGTCACTAACTCAGATAAACAAACTACTGGTATCTCAGTCTCTCTAGCTCTCTGTCAATCTGCTCTGTCTGTCTCTGTCTCTCTTTTTCCCACCCTCCTTCCTCTCTCTTTCGTAAACATCTCTTCATGCAGAATTGTTATAGTTCTTCCCTTCGCTCTCTTTTTCTTTGATATCCAAAGAAACCTTTAAATTCTTTTTCTCTGCATCTGTTGAAGGGATATGAAAACACCACTGAGAATGTCTGGCTGTTTTAAGCTTGATAATAGTTTTGCATATTGGTGATAAAGGCTTTTTTTTTTGTGCAGCCTAAATAGATGTTTCTACATTGCTGGTAAATCTATCCTCTTCTACAGATCCTCATCAGGAGATAGCGACTTCCAAATTACCCACGATAGGCTCAAAGAAGATATGTACATTATGTATTTTTGGACTGCATTTGTGAAGGGCTAGAAGTCCTTAGAGGAAGATGCTCATAGAGACATGTTGATAACAATGTTAGGTAATGAGACAATAACCAGGCAGGCTTGAGGGCTGTGGTTGCTGGTGCAGAGGGAAGGCTCTGAGAGCACATTCCGTGCTTTCATGAATGCATAGTCCTGAGGTTTGCTGGGTCTGATCTTCGTAAAGTGATCACTGTTGACATAAGAGACTCTGGATCTCATTCCCTTCACACACAGGAACTCAGCACAGCACCCATGCCCACACAGGTCCAGGGACCACCTATAAAAGGTCACCAGAGTGAAAACATAGCCCCTAATTTGGGGAATGGAGCTGTGACAATCAGCCTTACTTTCATCAGGTTCTTGTGCTGCGTTACCCTAGGGAAGTTTTCTCTGGTGATACAGATGGTCTTTGAAGGGACTTCACAGGCAGCAAAAGCAGTAGGGTCACTTTGAAGCGGGGAGTATGTCCTCCTCATGGTGTTCAGGAAACTGGATCATAGGTTTGGAGACCTGGCAAAACCCATTTACACTACCTAGTTTTGTGTTCAGGCAGCCAAACTGCAGGTCACAGGTTGCAGGTGAGATTTAGTCATGTTCTAGGCAAGCCTGGCTTGGCATCTGTCACATGACTGAGGGACTGCTTTGGGCTAACTTCTTTGCAAGTGAAGCTCAGGGTCTTCATGGTCTGTATTTTCAAGATGGCATGTGTTGGGTTCTGACTAGTAACACTGTGTGAGGACCACTGGCTTGTGATGATCATCAGGGAGGGCCCTGTGGAGAGGCCATTCACTGTGGGAATGCTGATTCCACTATTTAGTGGATAGGCATGCATTTTCTTTCTTCCTCTTATTTTCCTCCCTCTCTCTTTCTCCCTCCCTTCCTTCATTTTTATCTTTCTTTGAAGGACTTATATATACCTTAACATTCTCCCCAAACAGGTAACAATGTATTTGGCATGCTGACCAAATGTATACTGGCATTTTGATAAGAAGTGAATCAAGATAATATATTTTTAAAAACATAAATAAAAGAAAAATTGAAAAATGTCCTATTCCTGTTGTAAGATAGAAGCCAAAAACTTTCCAAAGTTCAAGGAGTATCACAAATATATAAGTTTATTTGATTTATTTCTCTGGAATCAGTGAGACTTGTCTCCTCAGAGCTTACTTAATCAGAAAATGACACAGACAAGGGTCATATATCTTATAAAGAATACAGGCCTATGTGGGAATGGTCAGGAAACAGACTGTGGGTGGCTAGATGAAACAAAGGACCTTTTTCATATATTTCTAGCTTCTTTGGCCAATTTGAATCCAGAATTGGACCCAGATTCAAAATATAAGTTCATTATTAAGTTAAATGGGAAAAAATACTTAAAGGAAGGAACTTTCTGGAATTATGGGTTCTATTTGTAAGGAAAGTATACCTGCAGTGTAGTAGACAAGTCAGATATTAAAAATGTCCACATCAACAAGCACTAGCTTCTCGAAGTGTCATAGGGCCAGTATTTATTAAATACAGATGTTTCTTCTCCCGCCTTGCTGTGAGATAGTCACCACTAAGAACTCTTCCACATCAAAAAAGTTTACTAGGCACCGCCTGGTAAGAGCATGTCTGAGAAACAGCCTTTAACATGCCTGTCCCAAGAGTTTGTCATTTGATCTCCACATCTAAGAGCTAGTTTGAATATCTAAATTAGATCACACTTGGGAGCAGTGTGCTATGTGATCAAGTGACATGCATCTAGAAAAGTGTTCTTCGTTGGGCCTTGGGAGGAGCCTAGTCCATCAGGATATCAGTATTGAACTTCTCATTGCTTCTCTAATTTGTAACTACTCAGCTTGCCAAAACGAAGAATCTATAGTAGAATTTGCAAGAGTTCACCAATAATCAAGGAGCTTACCCTCTCCTTAACATCTTGGGAAAAAGAGTAAAGTCATTATCATGGAACTTGATTCAGTGTGAATTCATCTTACTGACCTTGAGGAAAACTCTACATTGATCCTTCCTTTTCTTCCTTTCTCATCTAGAGAGACTGGCCAGGTTTGACTATTATCATTCCTTAGGAATGTACCTCTTAGGTCAAGAATGTGGAGGAAACCTTCGCTCTTTTTATTTTTCACATATATCAATCTAGGCCTCTTTTTGTCATTACCTTGGCACTCTCTATCAGAAAGACCAACTTCTACTCTCTGATGACTAATGCCATCTACCTGCACTGCTGTTCTTCCTTCTATAGTGAATACTTTTCCTGACGGTTTAAGTTGGTCTCATCAAATTGCTGCTAGGGTAGGGGGCTCTCACGCTACAGTCCCAAGCTAAAGAATCAACTACTTAACTTGAAACTGACCCCCAAAAAGCATGACCTGAACTGAAATGTGAAATTTCCCCCTTTATCATTCCCTATGGAGGATACTAGTTATACATGTTGGTTGAATATACTGGTTCTGTTTTCTAAATTCAGCTGTCCCTGTTCTTTTCAGAAACATCACTGTGACTTAACCCCAGGGAAAGATTCTTGATTCTGAATTGGAGCTCAATTATAATATTCTTCATTCCTTAGGCAATAGAATGTGCTCTTGGTTTTTCTTTCATTCAAAGAGAGAAAGCATACCATGATTCCCTAGAAGGAAGAGCAGGCAGTTGTGGGAGAATCCTATGTGCCAGTCATGTTAGCATCGCAACCTCAACATGCCAGGGCTGTTGATGAATGATGTGGCTTTGATATATGGGAATGAGAAGATATTTAGGACAGGAAGAGCCACAGGTTCACTTTTGTCCTTATTCCAGTTAGTGGGCTTTTCTGAGCATTTGCTGAGAGAGGTGTAACCAGCTCAAGTAGGACTGAGGTAAGGGCTATTGCTGTTGTAAGAGATTCACTTGCACATAAACAACAAATGGGTGGCCAAGGCAGGTGCATTGCTGTGAAAATATACTTTAGTGACTTGTCCTGGGTCAGAAAAGGCACAAAAAGTGCCATAACACAAAGAAGAGGGAAGTTAGGGAAACTTCCTAGAAAAGGAGAAGCCTGGAGCTGAGTTATAAGGCATGAATACAGACATCCAGCAGAGTCAAAGGAAAAGCATTCTGTACAGAGAGAACCACTCATGAAAGCATGTGAGGAAAGACTTAACCAACAAGATCCTGTGACTACACGATTAGAAGTGCATAGAAACAAGTCTGCCAGAGGGAAAAGGTAGGCTCCAGGCCTTTCAAAGGAGTTTTGTCTTTTGTCCTGAAATGGTTGAAGGAATTCCTGTCACACCTGTATAGACTTGCCTCTTAGAAATGGGAGCCTTACCATAGTGTGGAAAATATATCAAAGTGAGAAGAAGACAGGAGATTCTGGTTTGGGAAGCCAGTAGAGAGGTAGAGGATGTTTCAATAAGAAAGGTAAAAGGTGAAATTGGTCAAAGGCCAGCAAACAGTGAGAATGGAAACTAAGGAGTGTGGTCACATGAGTTTCATGAGAGAATGGAGAAGGCTGGGTAACTACCTAAATATAAACAGTGATGGAGGGGAAGACATTTAAAATGATGGCTGGGTTTCTGCCTAGGACATCTGGTCAGCCTTGGTATCATGCATAGCAAAGGGTCTATCGGAGGAGAAACAGATGTGGGGGATGGCTTGGGACATAGGAAGTGTGAAAACCTGTCATCATTCCCTGGAAATGTGTAACCTCCTTAGTGGTCAGCACGAAGCACCACTAAGGCACCTTCCTGGTCCAGCCCAGGCTCCTGTTTCCCTCCTCACCTGCAGTTTTAATACTATGAATACTTATTAGAAAGTGCATTTGAGGCATGCCATTCCGCATATCTTAGTAAAAATGCTCATAAAGTAGGGGAGGGTAGAAATAGGCATGTGTCTGAGGATATGAGCTTCAATATGAGTTAATACCAACTAGGTATACCTATGATGTGTGCTTCACACTAGCACAAAACTACGGAGGGAATTGAACTTAATGTATTCTTGTATGTAGACATAATAAAGGTACAATTCAAATTCTTGGCTCCAGTGGCTTTGATGGACATATGGCAGTTGAGAATGGAGGTGACTCTATTGCCTGTGAAAACGTTGTTTGCCTTTTCTAAGGAGTCCTACATAGATGGAACTTGAGTAAACTTTTTCTCTGCGTGGCAAAAAGAAAATATACTGTCAACTCTGAAATAGCTGGTTTGAGGTTTGGAATTGTTTTTGAAATGTAGACCTTTGCTCCTTGTCTCAGAGTT